CATTGTGTAATTTTCAGAAAACTGCTTTCCTTGAGACTTATTCTTGGTTTGCTTTCACTTAAGGAGAAATTTGTCATTTTAGAAACACATTTTGTAACATGACAATCCACAGGAGGGAAAAGTGGGAGAAAACAGTTTCTGGCCTTGAATCACTTTGTTTTTGGTAAGAAGATTAAGTTGCTGGTACCATTTAAATAGGTGTGTCTGAATAAGGGTCTCCCACACAAACTCTATTCATTCAATAAATTTGCATAGTCTGACTAGAGTTTCTAAGATCTGAAAGCTTATACCAGAGAGAGTAGTGTATGCAGGTGGTTCAGTATATTCAGCCTTGCTGGGAAGGGCACCAAATGGGCACCTTTGACCCGGACGATTTCCTGTGGGCCGTGACAGTGCCAGAATCCACACCTTATTACCATATCCCAATCAACCTTAATCCATCCTCATCTCATTTGATCCATTCTTCATGCTATGTAGGACTGTATTGCTGATATATTTATAATCTTTAGGTGGTCACCCACTGGCCTCAATATACTTAATATACCAGGTCCTCCATCACATATCCCCTCATCTCTGAATAAGCACTCCACCTTTTCATTTTTATTTACATCCTGGTTAAAAGGAAGTGCTTGTAGCTCACCACAGACATGGTGCTGGATCAACGCCTTTGCTTTAGCTGCTTCCTTCAAGTTATTTTCCTCCTCCCTATCTGATTTCCTCCTGTTTAGGAAAGTGCCAACTGTTGTACATGGCCTTTTCCTGTTCCCAGGTTTAAAGTTTCTCCAGGTACCTCTCCATTCTTGAGGTGCTCTGTTCTCACAGCTAAGTCAACCTTCTCAACATTTAGTGAGTCACAAATATCTCTGCCTATCAGTTGAGATTTACAGAGGTTCATTCCAAAAAAAAAAAGCAAAGAGATAAACATTGCATCCAGCTTCAGAGTGTTCTGGGATTCTCCTGATACTTCTCTCTGAATGTATTTGGGGAAATTCCTCACTCTGGATTATGAGTTCTTTGGGTCAGGTATAGTAATATATATTCTTGTATAGCTCAAAATCCTTCAAGCTAGGCTTCATCAGTACATGAATGGAGAACTTCCAGACATACAAGCTGGATTTAGAAAAGGCAGAAGAAACACAGATCAAATTGCCAGCAAATGCTGGATCATAGAAACAGCAAGATAATTCCAGAAAAACACCTACTTTTGCTTCATCAACTTTGCTAAAGCCTTTGACTGTGTGGATCACAACAAAGTGTGGAAAATTCTTAGAGATGGGACCACCAGACCACCTGACCTGCATCCTGAGAAACTTGTATGTGGGTCAAGAAGCAACAGTTAGAACCAGATATGGAAAAACTGACTGGTTCAAAATTGGGAAAGGATTATGTCAAGGCTGTCTACTGTCACCCTGCTTATTTAGCTGATACGTAGAGTACATCATGTGAAATGCCAGGCTGGATGTATCACAATCTGGAACTAAGACTGTGGGGAGAAATATCAATAACCTCAGATATGCAGATGATACTACCCTATGGCTTTTCCAGTAGTCATGTATGGATGTGAGAGTTGGACCATAAAGAAGGCTGAACACCGAAGAATTGATGCTTTTGAACTATGGTGCTGGAGAAGACTTGAGAGTCCCTTAGACTGCAAGATCAAACCAGTCCAACCTAAAGGAAATCAACCCTGAATATTCATTGCAAGGGCTGATGCTAAAGTTGGAGCTCTGATAATTTGGCCACCTGATGTGAAGAGCTGACTCATTGGAAAAGACCCTGATGCTGGGAAAGTTTAAGGGTGGAGGAGAAGCAGGTGACAGAGGATGAGATGGTTGGATGGCATCACAGACTCAGTGGACATGAGTTTGAGCAAACTCTAGGAGACAATAATGAGATGTCTGGTGTGCTGCAGTTCATGGGGTTGCAAAGAATTGGACTTGACTTAGTTACTGAACAATAACAGCAGTATAATAAATAACTAATGAGAAAACTACTGCATAGCACAGGGATTCTACTCACTGCTCCATGATGACCTAACTGGGAAGGAAATCCAAAAAAGAGGGAATATATGTATATAAATACCTGATTCATTCTCCATATAGTAGAAACTAACACAACATTGTAAAAGTAACTATACTCCAATAAAAACTTTAAAATAAATAAAACTAATAAATAAATAAAAGAACAGCAAACAGACTCATAAAGGATAATTAATTGACTCCAAGTCAAACAGCCAGTAAGATACAGAATGGGCACTGAATCAGGAGATTTCAACTCCTCCTGAGGCTGAAATTCTACTACTAAACCTTCCCAGCAGTAGTATGAATTTGATAGTGTGTCTCCTTCATTCATGGAACAGCTCAAGAGTTCATGGTACTTTCCACAAAACTTCATGATTTTTAGTGGTTCTATCACTTAAACCTTGTGAAAACTTGGTTTAGTAGTGAGAGCCTGCTATTGAAAGCTTACTCCATCCACACCGCCAATCACTTCCAGCTTTGCTTGTATTAGGCAGTAACCAGGAGCTGCTGCTATCTTTCAGGAAAAACCTATGTCAAGATATATCTCTGAGTCCCCAACAGCATAGGTCACACATAGCAAGGGCTCAATTCACATGGAGTGAAGGATTTAAATAACTTTGAAATTACCTGGTGGTCCTTGGTACTTTCACTGCTGAGGCCCAGGTTCAGTCTCTGGTTGGGGGACCTAAGATTCTGCAAGACTCATGATGAGTCAGCAAAAAAAACAAACAAACGAAAACCAGAGAGAGAGAGAGAAAGAAGAAAGAAAAGTATTGGAGCTAGGTTTTAACTTACCTCTACAACTTAGTACTGGTACACTTTTAAACTTGTTAATTGCTGTAAGCTTCCATTTTTCCAACCGATGTAATGCTACTGAACCAGGCTCATTTTGCCGCAGACAGAGCAAGCCAAAATGCTGAGACACCGAGGTTTGCAGCAGAGAGGGTTTCTCCCCAAGGCAGCCAATCAAGGAGACAGAAGGACTAGTCTCAGATTCACTTCGCAGAAGCCAAGGCACTTGGGGTATTTATAGGATAAGGAATATTGCAGCAAGGAAGTCCAAGGTGTGGACAGTATGCACCTTTAATAAACGGAGGCCCTTAACTTGATTTGAGGTCCACTGATATCAAAAGGTCAAGGAGCTGAGTCTTGCGCAGGCCCAGTCTTAACCAGCTAAGTTTGAACTAGACACAGCTGACTCCAAATTCCTGCAAAACTCAGGCAAACATCTTATTATTTAGAAACAGTGGCAGATTTTATTTTCCTGGGCTCCAAAATCTCTGTGGGTAAAAGACGCTTGCTCCTTGGAAGAAAACCTATGACAAACCTAGACAGTGTGTTAAAAAGCCAACTATAAGGTCATTATAGTCAAAGCTATGATTTTTCCACTAGTCATGTGCAGATGTGAGAGTTGGACCATAAAGACGACTGAGCACCAAAGAACTGATGCTTTTGAATTGTGGTGCTAGAGAAGATTGTTGAGAGTCCCTTGTACTGCAAGGAGGTAAAACCAGTCAAACCTAAAGGAAGTCATCCCTGAATACTCACTGGAAGGACTGATTCTGAAGCTTAAGCTTCAATACTTTAGCTACCTGATGCGAAGAACTGACTCATTGGAAAAGACTCTGATGCTGACAATGATTGAAGGCAAGAGGAGAAGCAGGTGACAGAGGATGAGATGGTTGGATGGCATCATCAACTCAATGGACATTAGTTTGAGCAAATTCAGGGAGATAGTGAAGGACAGGGAAGCCTGGTGTGCTGCAGTTCATGGGGTCACACTCGGACACAAGTCAGCGACTAAACAACAGTGAATTGTGGTATAGCAGTTCTTACCTATAACAACACACCTACAGTATGTGCCGAAATGAGCCAAGTTAGTAAGCTAAGCAACAATGACTAGGTACCTAACATATACGCAGTCACTGGGTGCCAAGGAATCACAGCCAGCATGCGTGTGTGCATGGTAAGTCACTTCAGTCATGTCCAACTCTTTGAGACCCTATAGGCTGTAGCCCGCCAGATTCATGTCCATGGAATTCTCCAGGCAAGAATACTAGGGTGAGTTGCCGTGCCTCCTCCAGGGGATCCTCCCGACCCAGGGATCAAACCCACATCTCTGCGGTTCCTGTGCTGCAGGCAAATACTTTATCGCGGAGCCACTGGGGAACCCCCAGAGTCAGAATACTTAGATACATAACTCTGTCCTCTGTTCTGCTAAGTTATGTTTCATGACACAGTTGAGTATGAAGCTATGTGTGGGGCAGCTTTGAGCTATGGAGAGGGAAAGGGCAGTCCAGTCCCTAATTAGGCCCTCTTCTCTTCCTCTTACATTATAGGTTCACCCTAAACTATGTCACAAATGGGATGATTCAATTCTTTATGTCAATGGCACTTGCATTTCCATCCTTGCCCCTCATTGCTTCTCTTAGCTCCTGACCACCTAAAATTTTCTCTTAGAGGCTTTCTTGAAAGGCACCTCAAACTAGCACGGACATAATAAAAGGCATGATCATTTCCACCACATCTGGTTTTCAAAAAGCTCTGCTAGTCACATGGTTGGCTATACAACCTATATAACATAGAAATCAGAGTTCATTTTTGTTATCTCCTTCTGCTGCATCTTCAATGTTTAACCTTTAACTGTATGTGTTCATATATACAGATACGAATGTACATAAAACCTAACCACTTTCTACCATATAAAGTCAGTTTATTTAGAGTCCAGTTTTCTTATATTGACTTCCCTGGTGACTCAGATGGTAAAGCATCTGCCTACAATGTGGGAGACCTGGGTTCCATCCCTGGGTCCAGAAGATCCTCTGGAGAAGGAAATGGAAACCCATTCCAGTACTCTTGCCTGGAAAATCCCATGGACGGAGGTGCAAGGTAGGCTACAGCCCATGGGATCACAAAAAGTTGGACATGACTGAGCAGCTTCACTCACTTTTCTTATATTATGAGAGCTTAACTTATTACCTGAAACTGGAACCCAGGGACATGCTGTAAATAAACACACACATTTACTGTTGGTGACTTTCTTGCCTTCTGTATTTACGCTGATTGGAATCCAGATTTGGCGGTTAGGTTGGGATAGTCATTTGGGCCTGGGAGCTGGAAGCTGTGATAGAGGATAAAAAAATTAGTAATATAGACCCTTATTACTGGTTTACGGTCTGTTCTAATTCTTCATTTCTGTCTTGGCTTCTGTTCTTTAGATATTATTTACAGCCTGTTTCTTTGGCTGCTGCTACCTCAGTTTCCTCATCAACATTTTGCCTGCAGGCATGCATGCCAAGTTGCTTCAGTTATGTCCAACTCCTTGTGACCCTATGGACTGCAGTCCGGCAGGCTCTTCTGTCCATGGGACTCTCCAGGAAAGAATACTGGAGTGGGTTGCAGACCTTCCTTTAGGGGATCTTCCCAACCAAAGGATCAAACATGAGTCTTTAGAATATCCTGCATTGGCAGGCAGATTTTTTTACCATTAGTGCCAACTGGGAAGCCCACATTTTGCCTAGTTCTTTACTATTTCTCTATCTACTTTTGTTTTCCTATGCTAATTTGGCTTCTAGGATATAGCTACTTAACAGATACTGATTTGTTAAGTCCTCATGAGAATAAGACTGGACAAAAAATGAATAAACAGTGATTCAGCAAAAGTTGCACTGGACAAATTTAAACAGTCAAGAAAGACTATTCAAGACTATTGTAATAGGAGAGAGAGAGAGAGACTAGAACTAAGTCTGAACTCAAATTTGCTGAGACAAAGGGTAGGAGGGTTTTTAAAGGCTGGTGTGAGCTAACTAAAAAGTACTGGAAAAATTCAGGGGGAGGTTAATCACTAGGATGTGCTGAACACATTGAATTATTTCCTTATTTTACAGATATTTTAATCTGCAATTAGACCATCTGTGCTTGCTAATTGGCACCCACCAAAGTTTGACTGCTACCCTCTAGCAGAAACTACAGGATGGGGTAATATCCTCTTTGATGATTGCATTTCAAAATGATGGCTCCCAGGTCTTCAAGAAAGGCATGCCTGGTTTGTAAAACTGGCAGTTCAGTTCAGTCGCTCAGTTGTGTCCAGCTCTTTGCAACCCCATGGACTGCAGCATACCAGGCTTCCCTGTCCATCACCAATTTCTGGAGCCTGCTCAAACTCATGTCCATTGAGTCAGTGATGCCATACAACCACCTCATCCTTTGTCATCCTCATCTCTTCCTGTCCTCAATCTTTCCCAGCATCAGGGTCTTTTCCAATGAGTCCATTCTTCACAGCAAGTGGCCAAAGGATTGGAGCGTCAGCTTCAGCATTAGTCCCTTCCAATGGATATTCAGGACTGATTTGCTTTAGGACAGACTGGTTGGATCTCCTTGCAGTCCAAGGGACTCTCAAGAGTCTTCTCCAACACCACAGTTCAAAAGCATCAATTCTTTGGCGCTCAGCTTTCTCTATAGTCCAACTCTCGTATCCATACATGACTAGTAAAAAACCATAGCTTTGACTAGACAGACCTTTGTTGGAACCGAACTGTCTCTGCTTTGTAATATTCAGTCTAGGTTGGTCATAGCTTTTCTGCCAAGGAGCAAGAAGCTTTTAAAAAGATTCACCTGCATCTCAAAGGGGCAGAGAAAGAATTTACAGTTTTAAGTATTTGAGAAAAAGAGAAGACAGCGCCTCCAGTCAGGAAGAGGCCTATCTAACGTTCTGTCATACTCAGGGAAATGTTAAGACAAGTGTAAACAGAGAACTGCATAAGGCAGGATTTCCCATTCTTGTGCTAGGTTCTTTGCTGATTTGTTTCTGTTTTTCTTCCCAGTTACTCTATTTCCTATCTCCTTTAGTTATTAGTGAATCTTACACTGATGAAAAGACACACACAGTTTTAATGATGAAATATATTTTGGAAATATATATTAAAATTATTTTTGGAAAACTTCTCAGAGTCTCTTTTATCCTGATGTAAATTATGAATCTTACAAAGATTATATTGTGTAGTGTTTACAGTGAATTATTTTTAACAGAAATATCTTCAGGTTTAATTTTATACAGAGTCAAATATTTGAATTATTAATTATTAAATATTGAATTGAACATAGTGTCTTCTAAAATAAGTTTTGGTAAGTTACATCATTTCTCTGTCAGGATAGGAGGCTAGAAGTACTGAAGAAAGCAGACCAAAATTTCAAATTTCCTTACTGAAAGCTTTATTTGCTAAAACAATAATTATTTGACTAAGTCATAGCTGCCTTCATTTATTGTAAGTCCTGTAATAATTATTCTATTTAGAATACAAAACACCAAAACTAAAAGTATATAAATAACAAAAGAAATATGTCTTATTATTTTTTTTATTCTTCTTCTTTTCAGAAAAATTTGATTTTACCCTATCTACATTTATCAATATAAGATTATTACAGTATACTAACACATATATATGGAATTTAGAAAGATGGTAACGATAACCCTATATGCAAAACAGAAAAAGAGACTCAGATGTATAGAACAGACTTGTGGACTCTGGGAGAAGGCGAGGGTGGGATGTTTCAAGAGAACAGCATTGAAACATGTATATTATCTAGGGTGAAACAGATCACCAGCCCAGGTTGGGTGCATGAGACAAGTGCTCGGGCCTGGTGCACTGGGAAGACCCAGAGGGATCGGGTGGAGAGGGAGGTGGGAGGGGGGACTGGGATGGGGAATACATGTAAATCCATGGCTAATTCATTTCAATGTATGACAAAAACTACTGTAATGATGTAAAGTAATTAGCCTCCAACTAATAAAAATAAATGGAAAAAAAAATTATGATTTATCCTATGACTCTTCAGACATGGATCTCAGCTAGATCAACTGAATCAAAATCAACTTCTACTTTAATAGCTAACATTAGACAAATAATCAGAAAATACAGTCTGTGCTATTTTACCTTCACTATATGGTCTAGATAATTCCCATCTATGTTCCACCCATCTCTCTGAGGTAAGGCTATATTGGAATTACTTGATTCTAAAGAGTAGAGTTCTAATTACCCTTCAGATAATCATCCTGTAGAAAGACTGAACTTAAAATTTAAAATGGTGTCCACAGAAAATTTGCAAAATGACTTCTCAGTCTGCAGTTGAAACTGGAGAGACAACAAACAGTCCACTCTGAGAAGCCTTGGTCACTCTGTGCATGAAATTCCCCTCCCCCAACTAGAGACACCTTGAAGCTCAGTTTGGGAAACTTCTCCCTAGAAGCAGAACCATGAGGAGCTAACAGAAGGCCTGGAAGCGCCAGGGTTTGTTTTGAAAGGTCACTTTGGCATTATGAGGGGTCTGAAAATCTCTGAAACCACAACCCAGAAAATTAGACTATGACCTGCATGGTATATGACCACATCAATTGATGTAGAGAAAGCATTTGACAAAATCCAACACCCATTAATGGCACATTTAACAAAATCCAACACTTACATGGTATAAACTCTCAACAAGTCAGAAATAGGGGAGAATTACCTCAACTTGATTAAATTGCCACTACAAAAAGTCTACAACTAACAACAACTTTAATGATGAAAGACTGAATATTTTTCCCGTAACATCAAGAATCAGGCAAGGATGTCCACTCTTACTAATCTTATCCAGTATAGCACTGAAGATCTAACCAGAGGAACAAAAAAGAAATAAAAGGTATAAATGTGGGAAAGGAAGAAATAAAATGGTCCCATTTTCATGTGACATAATTGGTTACATGGAAAATCTTAAGGAATTCATAAAAAGTTTTGTAATTAGTAAGCACATTCAGCAAACCACAGGATACAAGATCAGTAAACAAAATTTAATCACAATTCTAAATGCCAACACACATGAAGAAGCTAAAATTCAGCATAGTATGATTTACAATTGATTCAGAGAAGATACATATTTGTTGAGTATTATAAAATTCTGATGAAAGAAATTAATGAAAACCCCAATGAACAAAGAAAAATACTGTTTCTGGTTTGGAATATTCAACATAATAAACACATTTTTTTCTTCCAAATTTATCTTCTGGTTGAATGCAATTCATAACAAAATCCCAGTAGAATTTTTTTTTGGGGGGGGGGACAGAAATAGACAAAATTGTTATAAAATTTCTATTAAAAGGTACAGGCCTAGAGTACTCAAAAATTCGACAAAGAAGAACAAAATGGGAGGTATCACTCTATTCAATACTGAGATTTACTATGTAGCTATTATAATCAAGACAGTATGGAACTGGTGAGGACATGAACACATAGATCATGGAACAGAACAAAGGCCATGGAAATAGAATCATATAAATATGTTGAACTGATTTTTGACAGAGGAGCAAAATTGATTAAATGGAAGAAGAAGACCATTTTCAACAAATGATGCTTGAACAATTTGACATCCACAGCAGGGGATAAATGGACTTCATCCTAAACCTCATGCTCAAAATGGATCACAGATTTAAATGTAAAACCTAAAATTCAACTTTTCTTTTAGAAAAAACAAAAGAAAGAAACCTTCAGGATTGATGGATAAACAATGGGTTCTTTGTCTTGACACCAAAAGTACAATATACAAAAGAAGAAAAATGGAAAATATAAAAATAATTTTTAAAAATTTGTACAATAGGAGGGAGATTCAGAAGGGATGGGACACATGAACGCCTATGGCAAATTCATGCTGATGTATGGCAAAGGCCATCGCAGTATTGTAAAGGAATTATTCTCTAATTAAAATAAATAAATCTTTTATAAATTTGCAAAAAAGTACACACACAACAGATGAAAAGAAAAGTTATAGAATGGTGTATAAGAGGGTAAAATAAGACATACTTAATGGTGGCAGATCATTGAAAAATCAAGACAGTTCCAGAAAAACATCTACTTCTGCTTTATTGACTATGCCAAAGCCTTTGACTGTGTGGATCACAATAAACTGTGGAAAATTCTGAAAGAGATGGGACTACCAGACCACCTGACCCACCTCTTGAGAAGTCTGTATGCAGGTCAAGAAGCAACAGTTAGAACTGGACATGGAACAACAGACTGGTTCCAAATAGGAAAAGGAATATTTCAAAGCTGTATATTGTCACCCTGCTTATTTAACTTGTATGCAGAGTAC